AGTTATTGTTAGTACCACGAGCGATTTGGTCAGCAGACCAGATCCTGTCGCCCGCCCTGTTCCTTTAAGCGCAACACGCAGGGAAATGGGTAAGCCAGCACGTAGGGGCAACGGACGTTGCTGGCTGCCCCAGTCGCATTTTCTTTGTCAATGATCACAGTACGGGAGTATGCTATCTCGTTGACACCGGCGCAGAAGTCAGCTTTATCCCCCGTGATGCTAATGATGTTATCGAAGAGGCGACTAGTTCATTACGCGCAGCAAACGGTACCACCATTCGCGTGTATGGTCAACGCTCGTGCAGGCTTAATTTAAGCCTACGACTTTCATTTAAATGGATCTTTCTCGCCGCAGATGTCCACACGCCAATTCTTGGCCTTAAATTTCTGCAGCACTTCGATTTGCTGGTTGATGCGAAGTAACGCCGTCTGATCGATCGTCAAACAAATCTGGCAGTTATAGGTACTTTGACCGACCTTGAGTCAATCAGTACTGTGTACCCCAACCAGTCAAACTCACCTATCGGTCAGATGCTTAATACCAAATTTTCGCAAGTCCTTCGTGCAATGGCACCCTTTCCATCTGCCACTGATGCTGCAAAACATCATATCGTTACCAAAGGTCCGCCTGTTTTTGCCAAAGCAAGGCGAATGACCACTGACAAGTTAACAATTTCTCCCGCAGAATTCGAGCATATGCTTGAACTAGGCATCGTTCGCCCGTCCAAAAGTCCCTGAGCGTCGCCACTCCAAATGGTGCCCAAAACGTCAGGAGACTGGCGTCCATGTGGTCATTACCGCGCGCTCAATAGCCTTACTGTTCCCGACCGATATCCGATTCCTCACATTCAGGACATCACGGCAAGCCTGCGCGGCACCCGTGGGTTCTCGAAAATCGATCTGGTTCGCGCGTATCACCAGATTCCAGTCGCTGAGGATGACATACCGAAGACTGCCGTAATCACGCCGTTTGGGCTGTTCGAATTTTTGCGTATGCCGTTTGGTCTTCGCAACGCAGCCCAGACTTTTCAACGACTCATCGATTCAGTCACTAGAGGTCTAAATTTCGTCTATGCATACATAGACGATATCCTAGTTGCCAGCGCTTCTAAAGAACAGCACGCAGAACATCTCAAAATACTTTTTGATAGGTTAGCCGCTAATAGCATCACTGTCAACCCTGACAAATGCGTATTTCAGCAGCCTTTCGTCGAATTCATTGTCCACCATATTGATCAGTATGGTATACGGCCTCTAGACGATGGAGGCCTCGCCATCAGAGACTTTCCGGTCCCGACTACGTTAGCCGCTATTCACCGTTTTAACAGCACGCTCAACTACTATCGACGTTTTCTTCCACACTGTGCCAATTTGCTAAGTCCACTAACCGACCTACTTCGTGGACGTAAAAATGGTCAGGTGGAACTGACTGCCACTGCTGCTGAAGCCTTTAAAGCCAACAAAGAAGCCTTAGCCAAAGCCGTTATGCTTCATCATTTCAATCCGAATGCACCGCTCAGTGTTGCTGTTGACGCATCCAACACCGCCATTGGCGCCGTCCTACAGCAACATACAAATGGCGGCTGGAAACCTCTTGCATTATACTCTAGGCGCCTACAACCTGCCGAAGTCAAGTACAGCACGTTCAGTCGCGAACTGCTGGCCGTTTACTCTACCGTTCGACATTTCCGACACGTCCTTGAAGGTAACACCTTCATTATCTTCACCGATCACAAGCCGCTTACCTACGCATTCCGAAATCAATCAGCTCGACAATCACCACGTGAGATTCATCAGCTGGATTACATTGCCCAATTCTCGACTGATATCCGACACATTTCTGGTCAACAAAACGTCGTCGCTGATGCTCTTTCAAGTGTATCTGTGATTGGTCCTGCCGGGCAGGCAATCGATTTGTCTGCTATGGCCGCCGCGCAATCAAACAACCAAAGTTTTTCGGAACTCCGCGATTCTTCTTTGAAGATATCCCCGCACCCTTTGCCGTCATTTGATGGTACCATTTTATGCGATACACCTACCGGACGACCTCCACCCGTCGTTCCAGAAACTTTTCGTCGTATCGTTCTCGACTCCCTCCACAATATCGCCCACCCAGGCATTAAAGCTAGTGTTAAGCTTGTCTCTGAGAGATACGTTTGGCCGGGGATGCAACGCGATCTTACATGTTGGGCACGCAGCTGTCTCACCTGCCAGCAAGCCAAGATTCAGCGGCACGTGTCCGCTCCGCTTGGTCGCTTTCCGTCCGTTTCAGCGCGATTTGCCCATGTCCATCTCGACATAGCGGGACCTATGACCCCGTCTAAAGGAATGGTCTACATTTTGACAATGATCGATCGTTGCACCCGTTGGCCCGAAACCGTTCCCATCCCTGCCGTAGCTGCGGAAACCGTAACACGCGCTTTTGTCGAGCGCTGGGTCGCTTCACACAGCTGTCCAGCCACAGTGGCTACAGACCGCGGTCCGCAATTCGAATCTACGACCATTAACGATCTCCTTAAACTCATTGGATGCCAACACATTCGCACGACCGCCTGTCATCCGCAAGCGAACGGCATGGTGGAACGTCTCCACCGACAGTTGAAAGCCTCACTTAGCGCCGCCAATGCGCTGAGTTGGACTGAGGTGCTGCCTATGATCCTCCTTGGGATCCGATCAGCCCTAAAGGCCGATCTAGGTACGTCTATCGCCGAGTTAGTATATGGACAACCACTGCGTTTATCTGGCGATCTATTCTCTGTTAGTCCCAGAATTACCCGTTACGACGCAAATTATGCACGTCAGCTAGCCACGAGCATGCGTCAGTACAAGCTTCCCGACGTTAGAGAACAACAGCGTAAATCTTTTATTCCACAAGACCTGCAGCATTGTCCGTTCGTTTTTCTCCGCCTCGATGGTCTCCGCAGACCACTGGAGCGACCTTACGAAGGTCCTTTCAAGGTCCTGCAGCGTAAGGACCGCGTTTTTATCATCGACCGTCACGGTAAACGAGAAGCCGTTACGATTGACCGTCTCAAGGTTGCCCACGTGGAACCTGAGCTCGATGAAGACCCTTGCTCGTCTTCTGAAGAATCAACCCAGCCTATGATGGAAGACTCGCATGCTTCCAACATCCCTGAACCCAAGCATCACGTTCCATCCAAGCCTTCCACTTCAGCTCCGCCGTTTCCCATCGAACCAACCGCCACTTCTTCAGCAGTTCCTCCAATTTTGCGATCCGATAGGATGTCTAAGACGACGCCTTCCTCTGATTCGCACAAGTCGACTAGGTCGGGTAGACGCGTTCATTGGCCAGCGCGATTAAGGGATTAGTGTTTCTTTCACTTTCCTTATTGTTTTCTTTTCCCTTTTGGCCAACCACGTACGAAAACCCCCAAAAAATCGGCAAAAGCTTTTGAAAACGCTAAAAAACTGACAAAACTTGTTAAAAACCTACAAGAACGCAAAACGTTTTGAAAACCCAAAAAAGAAGAAAACGTTTTGAAAACACATGAAAGGAGTTACGTTTCGCTTGACGCCTACCTCATCCGGTAAGTGTCACTCTTATTTTTGCTCTCGCCTTCATCGTTATCACTCTTGTTCCCGTTTACCTTCCATGTATGAACCGGAGGAGATGACGAGCCTGAAGCGAACATTTGACCTTCACGAACTCGCGAACATTTAACGCTTACGAACTCCCCCCATTTTTTTGGCACCGTTAGGGAGGACACGGGTGGGAGCCCGCTAGGGTCCGATCGCCTGGTTCTCCCCCAGCAGCTGCATCAGGTTTCACTACCTGGTCTCGCAGAAGGCTGGCCCGCGACGGACAGTCCTCACGTAGATCGAAGGGTCATCCACGGTTTCCCTTCTAAGAGGTGGACTGTTTAGCGACCTGGAGACTCCCCTGTATGACTGTGTAAACTATTCTAAAATATTCAAATTATAGCTTTCTTATGTATTAGTGAACTATTCGGTTTGCCTGTTGGAACGTTGTTCCCGTTTGTTGGAAACACGAAAACGACCTCCACTTTTGGCGCACGACTCGACTGCGAACAACGCTATGTCAACGCATTCGACGCCAACAACATTCTCCCTAGCTAGCTCTCTCCGGGTGCCCTATTTTTAGCATTAGCTAACGCTCCTCCCGTCCAATAAACTTCTTCCCTAGCTCACTCTTGTGTCTTCTACCCATTGCTTTTGGTTGACCGTCTAGTCGCGTACCGGATATATAGCGCACAAGCATCGTGCTATAAATTAGTGCGTCGGGAATAAAAAGGGAATTTTTGGTAAGGGCCTCACGTTTCAATTAATCTCGATAGTGGAGAGCAAAACCTCCACCGCGAGATGGAGGACCATTTCGAATGACTGAAATCTCACTGAGTTCAATCTCGGGATCAAGGATGTCGTTTGAGTGCCAAGATTCAGTAACTGCTATGAGGTCCCAAGTTGTTGTTTTATGTCGATGGCGCATTTCCGAAAGCTTAGAATACAACCCTTTATTGTTGGTGTAGCGGCATTGCATTTGTTGACGCATTAGGAGCTCGGTTCGCTTTGAGTGACCGGCATAAATAGTGCCGGTCTGCTGAAGTCTTTGAAACAGTTGTTTGCACGGTTAGCTGCTTTGAGATAGGTACAACTGAGGCTGGCTCGTCTGTATCTGAGGTCTGTACTAATTGAAGGAATGATCTTAACCGTACTTATGGTGGCCTTAATTTTCTGTTGTCATGCGATGACTGGATTGCCACTGCTAGCATTTCGGACGCAGCCAAGGTAAGTTTAAAAATTCGTGGCCCGCTATCTTGTTAGTTTGTGGAGGCAGTTAGACCAGTGCCGTAAAAAGCCAAGACATTCTACATGTCGTAGCGCTCTGCCATTTACCTGCATTCTACTACATGCATTTCACAGAGGAAATGTAACTTATAGCTGAAACCTTCTTCTTCCCTGAGATGAATACAGCTTATATTTCAAACTGTAAGATGCAAGTTAAGGGCAGTCGATACTCACCTGATGGATGTCCAAACCACTGGAACTTGACTGAATAGATGGATGAACTTCCATCGTCCCGGTCCAGGATCTCCCATTATCCATCCCTTAAGTTATTAGAAACAGACACCGTAACAACCAGTGAGATTAGGATGTAAATGCTTGAGCGTAACTTTTGTACCGCTCAGGTACAAACACACGTCACAAACTAGGGCTCTGTAAAGAAGAGCGAATTTGCTTACTTTAGGTTAGAGACATGTTAAACGATTTAATTTAAATAAGATTTAGTCCATCACACTGCCATTCCTGCATATTGCTTCACACTTTTCTTCGGTTTTCTCGAATTGAGCTCCTGAACTATAAGATTTCTCTCGTTCTTTATTTATTTATATGCAATAAGTACAATGTGATCTCGGAGGTAGTATAAACCAGATGCGACACTAATCTGCCAAACATATTTGAACGCGGAAAATGAGGGTATTTTTCAAGTGATATTTGTTGAATAATTTCTATGATGGCCATAGCTGTAACGACACCACTGCAGGCTATACCCATTGGAAGTACTGATGTCTCCAATGGGGGGTAAAGTGCAAGTGCTTTAAATAAAACAGACCCAGTTAGCGTAGAAGTGGGCAACCTGCTCAACTAATCCGAGTATGTAGCGTAGCTATGGCTTTGAAATGCTTTACACAGTGTTGCAATCAGGTTAAGTAATCCGCAGATAGTCGCATGTGGGTAAAGTGGTTGCAGACCATAAGATTCATTGCCAGACATGCTACTAGAATGGCTTACGTAAGTCGCTGAACATAGTCCATCGTTCAGAAGATTGCTTGACAAAGTAGGGGTAAAGAACTTAGCAAAAAGCAAACATTAGCCCTACGGCTTGTGGGATTTGATGAAATATGGACACCAGCAAACATTTCTGCTAGTTTCGAGCCGTGCTTGATAGAACCAGGCTGCATACGTCCCGTTGGTCCTCGACGGCATACATAAGATAGAAAAGCAAATCGATTCGTTTTATTAAGTTGTGGACATGCCAGCCTTCATCCTCAGACGCGCCATTTATTAACCATTGTTAATATTTTTTCGAATTGCAAGGCTAGAGGCCAAAAACAAAGGCCGGCATTTTTGTAATGAAATTAAGAGCATTTTGCAGGAAGGCAGGGTGGTTAAATACTAGCTAAGTCATTTTGACTCTATGCTCCCAGAGATATCTCAACTTAGCGCAGGGCTTTAAACTGGGCGTTCACTAGACACTCATTGAGCTAATGAAATTTTGTGTTCCTTATGGCCCTGTTATGTAAGAGCGCATAAAAGTACCAAGCGTACTGCACAGATTGGCACTGGCTGTCATCCGTTTTGGACTGTGCTTTAGACCCTCGCTGCGAAAAGATTTTCTCCAAGATTGTCAGGGACCGCTACCTGCGCTGTCCGTTGGTAGGGCTCAGGTGGACGTTCGAAAATGCAACTACCCCGGTAGTTGCGTCAGCATCAATAGAATTGAAGGCGTCGCAAACGGCATAGCAAAAGCTGGAGGCGCTTTTGCTAACCTTCGCCATGTATGTCGCCGGCGTGCCATCAATTTCTCTTTAAAGGGTAGAGTGTACAATGCAGCTGTACGTTTGACTCAACGGCACGGTTGTGAAAACTAATCCATTAGATCGGCAGACTTAAAGAGGCTTATTAGGTTCTACCACCTGTGTCTTCGCAAAGTGACTCAAATCTGGTTGGAAAACCGTGTGAAAAATGAGTGTGTTCGATGGCTTGTTGATGGAACAGGAAGATGAAGCAAACCTCTGATGGCTGTGCCACGTAGTGTTATTGCCAGCTTATTGAGTTCCGCGACTGCATTGTTTGCGCGCCGGGGGTGCGGATGGAAGAAGAGAAGGAGTCTCCAAGCGGTGAGGCGGTCAATAGGAATGAAGGCCCTTAGGTCGAAGTTAGCCTCGGTTGAAGCCTTTCGGCTCCCTGGTTGGATCCGAAAGACGATGATCACGTTTGGCTGGATACACTTGTTGACATGGCTAAGAATCAACCTGAGTGGTGCTTGTGTTGTGAATTTATTTGTCTCTCCCTCGCCCGCTTGGCCTCCGCTTCTAAGCCCGATCTCATTTACTATACCTAATGCAACTCTATTTCGCGGCACAATGGCCAGCTGTTATCTCTCCGGAACCATGCCTATCCGTTACTGGTGACTTTGCTGGCGTGCCTCTGTTGCAGGAACTTTTGTCTTTTCTGCCTTATGTATTGCGGCTCAACAGCCGAGGTGAGTTCCACCTCTAGCTAACGTGTGTAATGAATGAATGAAGGAATAACTGTCTAAGTAATGTGTAGCTTGATGGAGTATGCTGTGCGAGGTTACGATGCAGCTGGATAAACAGACGCACCGTATAGCACGTACATCAACCAAACCGCTCGCAGTACACATATGAAATTGTATGGCAATATTTCAGCAGCATGCTCAGCAAAATAGTTTGCAGTAACAAACTGAGTTTCGCATTACTTCCATAATTATGATAATCCATGAGAGCCCAAAAATACCTCACCCGCTCTAAGAGTAACTTATCTGGCTACATGGGGTGCTTAGGCTTTGAGACATAATGAGACACTATCGCCAAGATTTTTCCCTTTGTATTTATTTGTGGCTGCTGCCGAAATGCCGAGTTTATCTGTGATTAGGTTAGAATAGATATACCAGGAAAAAGTTAATGCAATTCTCTGCTGAGTTACTTATGTTGATTCCGAGGCAGACCGCAACGGTAGCGTAGCGGTTAATACGTGTAACAGTCCGGAGATTCCCCGGTTGGTCTGTGTGAAATTTTAAACAAAATCGTTATTTCATTGTATATTTAGGCGACCGGTGCGGAATATTGAGCTTCTTGCTGACTTCGATTGTTTGAGTTGAGCATCCTCATTTTGCTTGACGCTCGTTTCGGATGCAACGTGCGACAGCATTGTGTGCTGTGCTTTCCACCTTACTCTAGCTAGAGCGTCAACGGTGTCGATTTTACAGATAGGCAGCAGAGAAACTGCAGCTATAAAACTAAAAGTTTTCCTGCAACCCGACCTGTCTATTAAAATCGCTATCAGGGCCTCCGCTCAAGGCTACTAGCTAAATTTGTGACCCCGACCGCGAAAGAACTTCCTCACCGGCTATTTCAAAATTGTCCGTGAGCTCGTTCCGGTTAATTTATAATGTTGTTTGTGTTATTTTTCCATACAGTTGCATGATTTTGTCTTTCAATAGATTCTGTAGAGCCTAAGGTAGTGACTCACGTTAGTACTATGCCACTCTGTCACAACTTTTTGGGACATGGATCCCGTATTATGATTTGCTCAGTTAGAAGCAGACTTTTATGAGCCCAGAATCCCTACAGACCATGCAAAATACATCAAGCTCATATCCTATCTCTCTAAGGAGAAAGCAATGCAGGTGAGAGACGTTATTCTTTCTCAGACCGAAAACCGCAATGACCCTTTCAAGAAGGCCACGATTAAGCGTCATGCCGTCTAAAAGGTTTGCCTGCAGCAGATTTTCAGAGATCTGCGGTTTGGGCCGCAAACTGCCGTTAACTCTGCTTTAAAATATGCAACAGCTCCTTGGTTCATCCACAATGGACGATACCCTGCTTCGTGAACTATGGCTACAGAGGATCCCAGAAAAATACGCATGCGATTCTCGCTATAGTGAGCTCCGTATCGCTCAACCAACTAGCTGACTTAGCAGATCTGGTCATCGAACGATCAAAGCCACAAGCTGACACTAGCATGGTTAAGGCCGGCGCGTTCCAGAGCACTTCCATTACTAGCTTCGAGTCAACTATCCATACCTTACAACCACAACTTGCGACACTTGGTCGTCAAGTCCAGCAGCTCACAATGAGCTGCTGCCGTCACAGCCGATCAAAATTGCCTTCAAAACGCTCCAAGTCCAGCCATATGCAGGCGTGCTGTTGGTACCACCCGCGCTTTGGTGCCGCAGCGAGTAAGTGCGTCAAGCTTTGCACCTTCGCCGAGAAGCCGAGAAATTTCGCGGTCATCCCGTAACCGCGACGGATGTGACCGGCCAAAACCAAAGTCACCTCATTTGCGTTAGGGATTTAGCTTCCCGTACCGGAGCCGAAGTTAGCGTTTTACTCCATAGCTTAGATGAGCTCCTCTCATCCTAGCCGACAATACTTCTTGCCGTCAATGGCACACCAATCACAACTTCTGGTGCAAAGCTGCTAATGCTCAATTTATACTTCCGGTAAACCATTCGCTGGCCTTTCACTGTAGCTGCCCTGCCTTTCGCTATCCATCATCATCAACAGCAGTACATCAGCCATTTGAACTGATGCTTCACTGCCATACAACCATGAGGACCTATGAAATAAAGAATAAGAAGAGGGAGAGAAGGGGGACTTACCTGAAAACCTTAATGCCCTAAGCAAACATTCAGGGTCAAGGCGCCTACACCTTGTGTTAACAACATACCGTCACAAACAGCTGGCTATCGTGCAAAGATAAGGCGGTATCGGCGAGACAGCTTCCTTGCGGCTTTCACTGCCACGCGTCATAATCAGCCATTACCCCGCAGATAACTCAGCACCAAACACACTTTAAACAGACAATCCGGTTAGGAGACGGCAGCAGACGCGCCACTGGTGTCGGTTGCGAGCCATGTCCTGTAAAGTCTCGAGCCAAGCACAAGGTGAGTCACGTGGACCTCAACCCGGAAGGCGAGACGGACCAACGGCACCCAGTTGGGTCGTCAGTGACTTCATTTCCCGCTGCCAAGTCAACTTCTGTCCACCTCGAGCCTTGCGCCATCCGACACCTGGTAGACTGAACAAGGCCCTCCTAGGTAAGCGGTGACAAGGCATACGTAGCACGTGCCCGAGCCAACGTAACTTATTCAGTGCAATCTGTTGTTCTAGGGAGCTAGCATGATCATCACCACCTAGTACTCGCCTACGCACATCATCGTTGCGGACACGCTGGTGCCATCCGACATCAGCAATGCTTCGCAAACAACGATGATCAAAGACTTGAAGGCGCCTCAGATCTTCAGACCGAAGGGGCCAAGTTTCACTACCATAGAGCAGAACGGCCCTCACTGTGGT